ATTGCTATAACGTTAAGCGCAGCAATCAGGTCGCGCTAATAACAACATGGGCCTGCTAGTCTTGAAGAGGTGATTGACAGTGTGACAACATTCACTCCACTAATTAAATATGAATTGAAATGCAGGCCAAGAGATTTAATTACCAAGAAACAGAAGTGCAAAACGTGACCCTCGCTCACCTCAAAGCGGAAGTTTTTCAGAAATTCTCATACTTTGAGTAGCTTGTTAGGCCATATCAAACCTGAACTAAATCTGATTTCAATCAAAACTAGGATAATATATTTAATTTTAGGATATATATAGGATAATATTTAATTTTTTACATTTAAACCAAGCACAAAAACAAGAGAGCAACGCCCAAATATATGGACACATAGACGAGAGCGAATCAGTCCTTACCGGGTCCGGTACCCTCAAGAAAATTCTAGATTTTCAGTAGCAGTAATTTTGCAAAATCAAAACATATAGCCAGTCATCACGCGGATTAAAATCCGTGTTCCCATGGATGAAAAAAATACAGAGAAATTTTGGACGAAATATCAAATTTCATAAAATTGATACAAAATTTAGAAATAAATAAATATAATAGCCTTCTAGAAAAAATTTCATCTTCTACTACTGAAAATTTCAAAGCAATTGGTCCAGTAATCAAAGAGAAAAGCGACTTTTTAAAAACGTGTCAAAGAACAAGAACAACAACATATTATTGAAACGATCGCTATGTTCACTACGTGTCCAACAAGAGAGTAGTGTACAAATATATAGAAACGAAAGTCTAAAGGTAAGTGTTCCTATATGTCAAATAAAAGGGTTGAGTTAGAATGGAACATTAAAATTTGGGATGAAATATTAGATCTCGTAGGGTTCGAAAAAAAAACGGTAAAGAAATATATACCGTTATAGCTTTTTCTTCCATATACAATTTCTGACATATGCCCAATAGTTACAAACAAGATCAATTTTTCACAATAACAACAATAATAATTTCTTCATATGTACTTTTCGTGTCCGACAAGAAAATAGTTATGAATGTTGTGATTATAACCAACCTATGATCTTTCATCTTTTCTTAAATCTCTCATCTTTTCTTTTGTGAAAAACAGCCAAATGCATTTTATGAATGCAGCCCAACATCAACTCCCACGTAGACATTTTGTTGCTGTTGTTAATTGTTATAATACCAGACAAGATTATAGATATCCGAATATGTGAGCGGTATGAGGTAAGTGTGCTCAAAGAGACGAACAGAAGAAAACGGTATATCTGGTGCCGCTGTTTGGCCGCTCGTTAAGTAGGTACTTATAAATCTTAAGAATATTTTCTTATTAATAATTCTGAAAATTTGACCTTTTTGAATCTTATTTATGTCGTCCCTCAGCGAAACTTTTCATTTGCCAGGCTCACTGTGGACCTACATCTCCCACGGTAGACACCGAACCGCAAACTCCATATTCACCATCTCACCAAGAGTATAAAAATGAGGTAGCTTATCCGTCGGGTACAGATTAAAAATGGGCTCATTTCATGGACTAAATATACTTTATTTCGAAGAGCATGGAAAGTGCGTAATTCTGAAGTGAATAGTTTTATTCCGTCCATGTGGGCCGCGGTGGGAAGATTCCGGCACTCCTCTTACTTCCAATGCAATGTAGCTTTATATTATATATATAAGCCATGTCAATGACTGCTTCTTAGATCAGTGGTTTTAACCGGGTTTCCTGAGGTATATACTCAAATATGAGAGTCTATATGATAATATGTACATTTTTTGAGTATATTTAAACTAGATTTGCCACTATTATTAAACTTACTACTAATCATTTGTTTTTCCAGTATTTGGTTTGCTATTATGTACATTAGTTTTTACAATTCAGACATCAGAAGACAATTAAACTAAAGTACTGTGGTAAATCGAGCCCCTGGAATGTTACATTAGGGGTTCCGCCCTACCAAAATGATTGAAATCCGCTGTTTTAGAGCCTTGTTTAAAGCAATGTTGTAACGCACCTTTGCGATCTAATCCGTCCCGCTGGTCCGGTAATTTACAATCATCATGCACCAATCGTTTCTTGATGGTGAATTAATGTTTACGAATAAGTTGACTGCGGACGCAGTTAATCAATATTTTATCGGGATGTTTTGGTGATTTGAACTCGGCGAAAAAACTTTAAAATGATCATTGAACCTCAAATGACACTTTAAAAAATTTTCAAAATGGTAAATTTACATGGTATTTTGACTCGCGGAAAAGTTATATTTGTCTCAGACCAGGCACTGATATAAAGCGACACGAGAGCATGCTCCAATATGCTTAGACAGGGGTTAATTTACAATGTGACACCAACTATTATATATTATACATATATTTGAGTTATTTTACTGCAATTTTTTAATTGTATTCCAGTTTCCCAAATGCATGTAATGGCGCCTCTCCAAAATCGATGCGACTCCAATTTTTCACCGAAGTTTGAAAGCTTTTGTTGTATTTACACTTGAAAAAACTCTTTTAAAATTCAACTTCCCCGTAATAAGCGACTTCGTCAACTTTGACAACTTTTTGAAAAACATTTAGTAATAAGTTGGTTTACTTACGAACAAGAAAAATGCGCACACGAAGCAGACCACTTGATAAGTTTGAGGCTAATCAAGCGACTGCAAACAAGCCCGGTGGTCTACCTCAACCCTGTAGGGGATTTTATAGGATGCTTCGAGATTTCAGCTATACTATAGGGAGAATTCAAGTTTATTTGCCTCTGGGTTATAAAGGTTTTGTATATGAATGGCTGTAGAAATATACCGAGCGATTGCTGCATTATTGAGAGGTAATATTAGTTTTTATATTATAATACTATTATAATATTATTTCCGCCAATTCATTTGTGTTAACCCGAGGGAAGATTTCTGAATCAAAATTTATATTCTTTCAAACTCTTCTTACGACGGCATTCTTGCTTTATATATACGCAAGAAACACAGTGAGGGAAATATAGTTGGCATAATCTAAATCCACTGCAAATGAAAAAAAAAACAGTTTTAGTTTCCCTAATGCATGTAATGGCGCCACTCCAAAATCGATGTGACTCCCATTTTCACCGAAGTTTGAAAGTTTTTAATGCGTTTACACCTGAGCAAACTATTTTAAAATTCATGCTCAATGCATTACCTCCTTCATAATAAGCGACTTCGTCTCATATAAAAACTGCGACAACTTTGCGGAAAGCATTTAGTACCAAGAGGGTTTATTTACGACAGAAGAAAACTACGCGTTAGGAAGCAAGGCGACCACTCGATAAGTTTGAAGCTAATAAAGCGTTCGCAAACAACCTTTGTGGGCTACTTCTACCTCCATAGGGAATTTTATATAATTAGGATGCCTCAAGATTTCAGCTGCATATGGAGAATTCAAGTTTATTTGCCTCTGAGTTATGAAGGTTTTGTATGTGAATGACCATAGAAATATACCGAGTGATTGCTGCATTATTGAGTGCTAATGTTAGTTTTTATTATATTATAATACTATTACAATATTATTTCCGCCAAAACATACAATCTAAAATCACCAAAAAAGTTATATTTCCCTCAATTTATACGGAAGAGTGGTAGATATCATTTTAAACAATTATTAGAAGGGAAAAAATTAAAGTTTTTACAATATCTATATACAAATTAGACTTTCTGAAATCGTCGTAAAGAATAGGCTATTTTGAGATAAGATGAAATAGACGGCTATTAAAATTAACATGTAATGTATCTAATGTATGTGCTTAGATATATTTATCGACGATGAGCTATGCTAGAATAGAAGACGAGGATCCATTAGGAAGTATCGAAATATTATCACAATATTGCTTGGGGAACATGATTAAACCATGGATTTTTTTTGCCGTAAAAATCGAGAATCGTGTTGTTCACCCCATCTTTCGTTAATTGTAATAAGACTGCATGGGCCGAGACGTCCACGGGCCAAAAAGTCTATTCCGTGGTCCGAAAGTCTGGCCAAAAACTGCCGTGGGCTTAAACGTCTGTAGGACATTGCAGTATATTCCCACTCGAGCAGGCATGGACCGAATCGTGCGTGGACCGAACGTCCGCATGTCGAAACGTATGTAAGCCGATATCTGCCCTACAAAATTTATTAGTTGTATATTCCGAGTCCACAAATCAATTTTCCTCGCTCTTTCGGATTGCTGTCTCATAGGATTATAGCTAATTAGCGTCCAGACTATGTTATTAAAAAATCGATGCAAACGCGTATTCGTCTTATTTTCAGACAAGTACGAGAACTTGAGGAACATAATCTCCTCCGAATAACGGATGGGTCTGGATGAAAAATCAATAACCTTATTCGTCTTCGTCTCAGGCTTTTAAAAATTTTCAGTACTCTAACATAAATCTTTTGTTATTTTGATTGAAATTATCATCGAAATGAACCCAAATAATAAACTCTAGACACGATATATAAATATGAATTGTGTTTTTGTTCGTGTTTATCTAGTTATTAGGTTTATTACAATACGCATTTCGACTGCGTTTTAAATCGAATTACAGTGATATACGAGTGATTTAAATGAGATTTGTTAAAAGTGTATTTGCAAACTATATAATACGACGAAGATTGCGTTTCAATGCTACATTTTGCATGTTTCGCAGTTGTCCAGGACTCTTCGATACGTAGTATGCATTAACATAAATTTATTTCTGTAACGTTTTGTCTGAATAAAGTCCGATTGCTCTAAATATGCAGGACATTTTCAACTAGCTATGTTACAGAAATGGGTGCTTCAGAAGTATGTGCACCAAGATGTCGAACAACCTGAATCCTAACTGGTACACACATACTATGTTCAGGTTGTGCGCCATCTTGGTGCACATACTTCTGGAAGTATCAGAAATGTATTCGTGTTGGTGTTTAGGCTCAGATTGGTATAATCGGAAATTTTTGCTGAGTAATATGAGTAAAGAACTCTTATCACGAATGCAATCAAAAACTTAAAATCCCAAATCAATCTTAAGGTCGCGAAGGTATACACTAATCGTTTTATTAATTTGATAGGTTTTCACTGAAAACAGATAGTTATAACTTTAATAATGATTGCTTCTATCAGCACACTCGGACCATATGGGCGTGCTGCCTTCGGATTGGCTATGGCCACGTTGGGTGAGTATTGTGTGTAGTTTTTCATTGTGGTATTACCGTAACTATGTGTAACTTATATGAATATGCTATGCATTTTTTATATGCTTTGTGAATTTTCAAATACAATTATATTCAAGTTACGAATTAATTTGGTTTCATGACTCACATTTTCGGGGAGTGTTCATCCGCCTTAAGTGGGGGGTCACTGGTCCGGAGTAGTGGATTCCGTTACTTCCGCTTGTGAACACTGCTATATTGTACACCCCCTTTTATTTTATTAGAATATGAAGAAAAAAAAATATTCCTATTGAAACATATTTAATAATCACACAGGTATGGTATCTGTGATTGGATATGTAGTTTATCTTCGTGCAATCTGGGGAAATCGAGAACTTCAGAAGCGAACTATATTCCTCATGTCTCTTTGTGTGTCAGACTTGCTCATGATCTTCGGACATATGGCTTGGACGGTTGCAGCCACTTTTCACCAGTCATGGCCGTTTGGCGATCTAGGTTGTCAGGTAAGTAATTCGTTATACGCTAACTGTGTCGCGATAAGCCGGCTGTGCAATATTATTCACAAATAAATGCATTACACAAATTTTTTTTTTTATCAATTTTATCTTCTAATTTCTTGGTGTCCCGTGAAGAAAGATAAAAATCGTAGGTGTTCCGGGTCCAAAAGGTTTGAAAAACTCCGCGCTATATATTTATTGATGTCTGCGTGCTAAATGGAATTAAAAATCAGAGTAAAGGTTAAATTTTATGCAAGCGTGCTCAAAGCAATATCACGGACTTTCAATATAAGTCAGGAAGTTACTGATAAGAGAATTGCAAGGTATATTTTTATTCAAAATAGTATCGAGATTGTCCAAATTTCTTAGATTCAGCAATTTGATTTCCAATGTATATAAAACCGGGCCATTTTCAAGGCTTTCAAAAAAAAAGAAAACGCAGACGGCTTGTTGGACTAGTAAAAACAACAGCAATGATGTACAATGCAAAAAATTATCTGAAGCTACGAAAACTATCATTTGTGCTCGTATAAAACGATCATGGATTGGCTATAGCAATTATAATCGAAATACTTTATCTAGTCTTAGGGCATGGTTCGGTAACCTACGGCCCGCTTTGCTTTACCGTAATTTAGCGTCGAAACGGCGGCTGTGAATTTTCACCTAATTTAACATTACAAAGAACAAACAGAGAACTAATATTAGTGATGACTATTTAGAAAGTGTCCTAATTTTGACTTGATGCAGTGTGTCACGTGACGTCGAAAAGCTATCAAGCGTAATGCAACAACGAATGTCACGTTCGATGTCATTTATATTTTTTTTGCCAAGGAGGCGACTTGAGTCCACCAGTCGTCGCAGTGTTCGCTCGCTATTTGAAGTCTAAAACTTCAACTTATGATCTGTGTAAAACTGTGATTCATCGACCAATGTTCGGTTTTTACCTTTCTTAAAAAATATGTTCGGCCCGCCGAGATTTGCAACCCTCAATTTTGGCCCGTGAGCGACAAAAGATTGCCGACCCCTGATCTAGGCCATAAAAAATCCGTTGCAAAAACAATCACAAAGTCGTGTTTTGAGTAACATTAAATTATATTTGATTCATATTCAAGCAAGAATAAAATTATATTTATTTTGTAGGTAACTGCTTTCTTCGCAATGGGACCAGCGCTTGTCAGCATCGCTAATGTAACTCTGATATCGATCGATACTTACTACAGAGAATGCAAGAAAGAATATTGTAAGTTTCTCATTTTTTTCTCTCGCTTAAACGACAAGATGGTGATCCTAAAACTCAATTTTATTTAATTCAAGAGTCTTGCTTCACACTAACACAAATGTATTTCTGTAACGTGACCTCGTTTAGACTCTTGAATTAAATAGAATAGTCATTTTCACTCTTGCTATAGCATCCTTGCGTTATACGCATACGAATCCATCTGCGCAAAGGCATAGAGCAAGGAAAGTTAGTTAGTTTCACGTAACCCCAACTGTTAGTCACATTAAAAGTCAATATATATAGTTCTTTGCTGAGTAAATAACGATGCCAATTCATTGAAAAAAATAACGTCAAATCACCAATCGCTTTTTCGAATCGATTCTATCACATGTCGTGTCATGGTGGATTTCACGCACAACAGTGAAATGAATAAATATGAGTTACAGTGACGCTAAGACTTCCATTTTGTGTTGAACCAAAAACAATTTGAGTCTTTGTGGGATTTTATCATGTTTTGACAACATTTGTTTTGACAATAACAGGGCCTATTTTGAGTTATTGCAACAAACTAAATTCCTCCATGCCTTTGCAATATTGGATCTGTATGCGCAATGCAATGATCTTGTAGCAGGAATAAACATGGCTATGAATATCTGAACTGGAAATAGTTGCGCAGCTGGGACTCTTGAATGACATAGTACAACATTAATATACGCTTTATTTACGTTTTTTCTCAATTTGAAAAAAAATTGATTAGTCAAAACCGATTACCTTTGTTTAGATAATTTCAGTCATAGACTTGAGTTTTTCTCCGACAATAAATATCACTGCATTGGTATTTATTATACCTTCATTTATCGATCTTCTAAATGCAAATTTTATCCCCAATTTCAGGCGGAGTTAATTATGGGATATATCTGGCTGCGATATGGATAACTGGACTTGCTGCTGGGTTCCTGCCTATACTCGGAATGGGCTCATATGGTTTCGAAAGCCCACTGCAAGTCGGTTGTCTGTTAGACTTCCATGAAGCTAAAAGGTGAGAAGATATGATTTAATCAATTTTGAAGCTTCCATTGACAGTTGTCAAATGAAGTACTGTATTTATATTTACAATTTTGATGGAAGTTTATGCCATGAAAAGGGGCGCTCCAGAAGTATGTGTACCAATATGGGGAAATCTAATTTTGTTCGCCTACTTCACATCAAGTTGTTTAAAGGAACGGAGGCCTATGTGCAGGGGGTATATTCACTTGGCTAACGCAGACAGTCACCGAACTTGTAATAGAACTGAAGTAAGGAAAATCGGAATGAAATTATGGCCTAACCCTAACCTGGTACACATACTGCGGGAGTACCACAAAGGTGCGCATCACTTTGGTATGCGAAGCGTCAGCGCCGTAAAATCACTTTGGTAAGTTTTATCATTCGCATACCAAAGTGCCATCAATTGCGGTGCTACTATGGTATGCGTTTAATTTCATTAAGACATTCTCATAGAATTCAATTTATAACCTTGACATCGCTGGTTTAGGTTAATTCTAATATCACACAGCCGCTGAGATCGCATACCGAAATAGCGCCTATTAAAGTTTAAAACCAAAGCAAGATGCCGATCAATGAATAAAATTGAAGAGAGACTGTTGCAAGCGAGCACTGGCGCTATAAAAAATATATAGGGTGTTCGTAAAGTCGTAAATTTTTTAATTGCAAAGGGAATTTATCAATGCCATGATATGGCTTGGTCCTCACAGATGTATTGAATGAGGTAAAATACTTAAATACTGATTAAAAAACAACAAACCTGGTTTAAGATATATTGATAACTGACTTCATAACAAAATTGAAACTGTAAAGTGACTTTATGGGCACCCTGCACATGTTTATCCTTGCGACAGAAATGCCAGTAAAAAGTGGTTAATGCAAAGTTCAAATCCACGTCGTGAAAATACGTTGTTTTTTATTTCTGACTTCGTTAAAAAACCATTTGTTCACATTTTTGCAGAGGAATTGTCACTTACATCGCTCTGTTGACTGTAGTATGGTTCATTTACCCGATGTTCAAGTTGGTCAAATATTACAACATGCTGCAGAAGGAAACTGGAGATAGATTTGTAAGTTCTCATGTTTAATAATCCTTTCACAAGCAATCTTGATTTGGCGGGAACATTGCAAAACATGCACTGCTATAACATAATTTCCAACTACTGTATAGCCTATAGAGGACTTGCACGGGTCACGTGACTTTGTTACTGGACGGCAATAAAACAAAAACGTCCATTTGGCTCCTGTCAGTTGCAAGTGGATTATACGTTTCCGTTTTGTTTGGCTGTTGAAAATGGTTATTTCGTATTGTTCCGTTGGCTGTACGTATAGTATAGACAACGAAATGGATCTTCAGTTATATTCCACTGTTTTCAAAAGATCCGGAACGTCGCGCAATGTGGATATCATCTATTGGCAGGACTGCTTGGTGTCAAGTCCAGAAGCCATCTCACTTGTGTTTCACTGTTTGCGGACAGCACTTCGTTGATGGTGAGTCATCATGTGTCGTTATCAAATTTTTAAATATTCATAAGCTCCCTCATTTTAATGGAAAGCAGATGACAAACTACTGTTATTGGTTGACTCGTGTAGGGTATTAATCAATAATTGCCATAAGGTATTGTTTTCCTAGTTAGCAGGTAATCTATCAGTAAGTGTGAAAAGTTGAATAGATAAATAAAGTTTAACGCCAGTGCTAATGCAAAAAAATAACCAGAATTCAATTGAATTCTCCATCTAAGAATGCGCTCGCCACCGCATCTCTGATCCCCCTGGGAGTTTCACAGGTTCCAATCCCATGCGAGGATAGTTATGTGCGAGGGGATTGCAGCTCTCCTCCCACTGAGGGTGGTTCACACGACCGCTGGTCGATTACGACATCCCCCACCATCAAGTATATGCCTCTAAAACAAATAACTGGCTAACTGATCCCGACATAGAATGGTAATCGTACGATGTTGCACCTTGCAATCTGTCCCCAACTACAGATAAATTCTATCCTGAAAACTACCCACATTGGTAAGCATAGTTGCGTTTCAAATTGAAAGAAATCTTCATTAATGGTCAGAAGGTGTCTGATTGTTTTGTTAGTTAGCAGGTAATTTATTACTGATCTGATACACAAACTTGGCACTGTCAAATGATGATTAGTGTTTAATTTATTTTCAGGAAAAAGGGAAGATAACCCATTATCAGCTGCTTATATGTCCCATCGATATTTGAATTTTTGCCATCCCCAGAGAGGAAGAGAATAGTTAGAAAAAGGGGGATTTTGAAGAAAGGCAAAAGGCAAGACCATTTCAACAAATTCTGTTAACTTGTATGCGTTGCAATATTAATTTGCAGTTGTTAGCCTAAACATTTAATGTGTCTTTCGACTAGACCTACCACACTTTAAAAAAAAAGCCGCCTACACCCCTTTTCACTAGAACCATAATACTGTAAAATATTTGATAGAAATTACCCCCGAGGCATAATATCTTCCATTTGAAAGGGCTGTGGAGGCAGATACCTTTTTTACTCTAAATTATGGAATGTTACTTCCAGGTTATCTTATCCATGCTTATAGACATCTTGAGGTTAGTGACTGCAACTGACCCATGCATGCCACACTGAAAATTCTCTTGTGTACCCATAAAATAAGGCTGTTGGAGCCTTCAGACCTTGAAAACAGTCGAATCTGAGCACGATGGATTCATGTGAATCACGTAATATGCATTTAGAGGCAAAAATATCCCATCCTGAGCAGCACCGTTCCACAACCTCCTGCCTATGGAATCAAAACATTAGACAAATTGGTGTACTGTGCGCTTTCACAAATCTTTGCGAATCAAGTGTGCCTTTTGACTAAAGAAATATTAGCATTGAAATGGTCAATCTCAATATCAACCTAGTATCTGCATATAAAACCAATTGTTTTTTAAAAATACATTTTTGATGTGCTTTATTTTTCAAATATATTTCATAATTACTGTAAAGTGTGTGATATATTTGGTACCATGAATACTATTTGCAAATTAGCTTGGGTTACACCCCTCTCAAATAAAAGTTTAGACTCTTAACTCTTTGAACTCTGACGGCTCTGAGCGAAGTTACTCGCTCACCCTGAAGGTTCGCGGCGCGGTATTGGTAGAACAATAAAATAAGTCTAAATACTGGCTATTTGGCACGCTTATAACTTTTTACCAATTATAGGTGGCACGTTGTGTGACATTTCAATCGAAAGGAAATTTTATCGTGCATTCAGAATGTATTTTCCATATTGAAATACATTTTGTCAAAATTAATAAAATTGACTCTAATCTAACAGTCATTTTTCTGCATGTATGTGAGTTTTGGCTTGAAATTTTGTTAGTTTGGTGCAAAATATACTGCCAATATTTGATGTTCATAAAGAGTTTTTTATAAGCTTTTTGTTGATATTCGAATTACTATTGTGGCTGCCATATAACCAATTTTATATTTAAATATTTAATTGTGTATCATTGTGTCGGGTGAACAACTTCGATAAGCGGCCATGACGCACTGATTACGCAGCTACGCAAAAGCCGATCACGTGACTACCGTCATGAAGATGTTGATAAGTACGTTCGAAACATATTGCGTGGCAAAATGCGCAAGATAACTTTCACGACGACGTTCTCAGCGAGACATCGGTCGCCGAGTTTCGATATGATATTAACCCTGTATGGATTGAAGTACCGAAGTCGAGTAATGCGTGCAGTAATAGCGAAGTGAAGGGAAGTTAATATCGTCATATAAAATTTCACGTGGAAAATGTTTTATTCGCCCATAAGTATTTGTTCAAATATCAACCAAAATAAGTACTTGCCTGCTCTGCAGATCAAAATATCTGATTGTACGAATGTTAGGCGAAGCAAGTGGATGGATCAATATCTGAAAGCACTAATAATGCAGAAAGAGCAACTCTTATTCTAACAAGATCATATGCGTCGCCAGAACTAGATACCCCACCGCAAAACGCCAGTTCTAATAATAGATGCGTCGTATGCAGCAAAATTTACATTATTGCCAAAAAACCAATCCAGCTGCTAAAGACAAAGCGTTGCTGAAACGATGCGAGACAGTATATAAGTATAAATACTGTAATGAGTACCTATGTATAGGTAACGAAACCAACAACCATTGGTATAACTGGCACAACAAAGTGCAATATTGGATTTAGTCTGCATAATATTTTCATGTTCTTCATTGTTCCGGGCACAACAAAGTGCAATATTCAATTTAAAAATTTTAGCAAGCAGTCTTTTATGTACATACATTTTTCATGGTCTTTATTGTTCCGTTATTTGCTAATAAAATCACAATATTGTTCATATTGCGTATACGTAACCACAACTTAATGGGGCTTGCGCGGGCAGTCAAAGTCAAAGCGTAGTGCGAATTTTGAATGCGTAGCATCGGGTTAATTAATTACTTCCTGTGGACATTTAAATAATAACATCTTGACGTAACGTTATTGCGGATATTGTCACGTTTAGTTGCATTTGCGTAATATACGTAAAGTTGTGCGTGACGAGACGTTGCCTCTCTTCAATGAGAACATCAATTTGACGCAGCGTCGCTGTTAAATCTACAGATAATCTAATATATTTGGCCATAAAATTTGAATGGATCATCGTAAAATCGTTTTGGATACGTATATAAAAAGCTATTCAAATTCTCCACATATATTGCCGATTGAATATGTGGCTATTTAGGCAAGAAGTCGAAATTCTTTATATTAAATATTTGTTATCATACAATAACTTCATACGCACTTTCAAATTGCCAATTTTACTGAAACATCGTATATTAGAGCACCGATATTTACAACATAATTAGTCCCAATAACAAGCTTTCATGCAATATAAAATTTATTTAAATACTCTTTGTGGTTCTTGAGATAAGAGATCATAAAGTTGATTCCCTCCGACACGAAAAACAAGCCGGTAAACCGGCTTGCCGGGGCACAGAGCGTACTCAAACAAGCCGGTAAACCGGCTTGCCGGGTTCAAGCGGTTAAGTCATATCTCATAATATTCTTTAAACAAAAGGTTGCGGCTAGCCGGCTACCCATCAGAATTTCCTTTCAGATCACAAAGTCGCAATATTACGCCTCACTAAGTTTCATTGGCAACTGTATCTGGTTGTAGTATCGATGTCCAACTTTAGACTGAAACCTTCACTACCAGACCCATCGAAACAATTTTTTTTCTTGATAGGGTAGTCTTGAAGTTGCTTTTGTTAAAGCACAATGGACACTTTATCTCCACCAATCCACAGTAATCACAAGTTACTTTGTCATTACGATAAGCATCAATAAATGGATACTGAGGATGTATTATCAAGTCACGCAAGCTGAGGTCTTGAATGGTCGTAACCGATCAGCGGTCATGTGAACCACCCTCGGTGAGAGTAGAGCTGCAATCCTCTCTGAGATTGAAACCTGTGAAACTCCTAGGGTGATCAGAGATGCGGTGGCGAGCGTATTCCTAGATGGCGAATTCAATTGAATTCTGGTTATTTTTTGCATGACCGCATAGTTATCTATTCAACCTTTCACACTTAGTAATATATTACCTGCTAATTAGGGAAACAATACCTTATAGCAATTGATTATTAATTCCTTACTGTCTTACACAAGTCAAGTCTGCAACTGCAAGTAGGCCTACTAATAACAGTAGTTTGTTATCTGCTTTCCATTGAAATGAGGGAGCTTGTGAATATTTAAAGAAATTGATATCGGCACACTATCACAACATTATCACTCACCATCAACGAAGTGATGTCCGCAAACAGTGAAACACATGTAAGATGGCTTCTGGACTTGACACCAAGCAGTTCTGCCAATGCAATAGATGATATCCACATTGCGCGACGTTCCGGATCTTTTGAAATCAGTGGAATATAACTGAAGATCCATTTCGTTGTCTATAGCCTACTATACGTAAGGCCAACGGAACAATACGAAATAACAATTTTCAACAGCCAAATAAAACGGAAACGTATAATCCGACTTGCAACTGACAGGAGCCAAATGGACGTTTTTGTTTTATTGCCGTCCAGTAACAAAGTCACGTGACCCGTGCAAGTCCTCTATATAGAAACTTCCGACTATAGCCGGCTAAATCCGAAAGGTCAATTGTAGGAATTTCGAAAACACACCCATATTGAATATGGCCCCCATTGGGGAGGCGCAGTTCTTACCACCCCATGGCAGCTCCTGCCACGAACGAACCGCTGCAGCTTTTGCCATGGTTTTATAGCGCTATTCAGTAATCAGTATTTACGGTATATTCACAAATAAACGTACCAGAATTCAATTAATCATGCGGAATTATATCTACCTAAACCCAAACCCTAACCCCAAATCCATCCAAACTGTATCCATAAGAAAAACGTTCCAACTTAATAAACGTTCCAACCCAATATTTATCACCATAAGAGACAGCCCTGTCTTTACGGCCCACCTGCCGTGGTTACGGCAGCAAACTCTTACCTGTCATTGGTTTTCAATTTGCTGCCGCGGAAACGGCAGCTCGTCGTTGGTTTGTGGCAGCTAAAAAGTCAGTCGCCATAGGTTTGGCCGTAGCGGCCATGGTATGGGAATTCCGCCATGGTTTTGCGGCAGCTGCAGACGCCACAGAATACTTAAAACTGCTTTTGCCATTAGGACCCGGATAGGATTTCACATGCTTAAAACTTTTGCTTTCAAGACTAACCAATCTCTTTTATTTTTTAGCTTCTTAGAGTTGTTCCAACGCAAATGCTTTGCACCTGGACTCCTTATGCCGTATGCAGCATTCTATTTCTGGTTGCTGGACTTACTAACGTACCACAAGTTCCACTGGCCATCATATCAAACGTAAGTAAGCTGTTGAGGTTTTTTTTAAAATCTTGCAAACACCTGTTTTGACCTAACTAGTATGGGAATCCCAGTTGTTTTCTCACCCCCCCCCCCCTTCTAAGGGGTGAACACTCCCTAATTTTGAGGTGTGGCACCACTTTATCACCACCATTTTAATTCCTAATTTAATATTAATGTATTTGCATATACAGAAAATAACGTATATGCCATTACAGATAGCCAATCAAATACATGCCAAATTTTTTATAAGTTACAAATTGTCTTATCTCTAATAGTGGATTATCTACCAAGTATCACCCTTAAATTTGGTAACACTCCCCCTAAAATTGAAAAGCCGGAAGCGCCATCGACAGTTAGAGTTCAGAAGCTTAAACTCATTGTCAATGCCTCGTGTGTAAATATTGAGCAGGAATGGCAGTACCGGCTGTTACGTGATAATACGAAAACTGTCAGTCTCATTCACTTCCCTCGTTAGTAACGCAAAATTTTACACTATAATTCTTTAGTTTCAATCGCCTCAAGCGAGCGCGCGTGACCACCTTGCTTTGTGCAACTTTTCTTGAAAAAAAAAACACAAACTTGCAAATCTGCTGAACAGGGTAATTAGCCTACCCACCACCGATTATATTCCATCCTGTTTATCTGACTAATAATTCTTTATATCTATATTTATTCAGCTTTGTGCCAAAATATCCATCGCTAGCAACCCGTACATTTACATCGCTGGAGACCCGAAGTTGCGGATCGCCTGTCAGCAAATGTTGTTTGGCAAGAAGATGACATTCAACAGTGATGTCACAATCAAGGAGAAATCAACTTGATTCTAGTGATTGAATTTTTGTGACATCACAAATATTAATGGGATCTTGTCAGAGATATGAAGTGTCTGTTAATGTTTTCGTATAGTTGTGTGTTTATTGTTCATCAATAAATGAAAATAGGTGTAGAAATAAATGTTTAATTTGCCGAATAAGTTCAGTAAATGACTAAAGTATATTTTGCCAGCATAAAGGACCAACAGAAGATAAAATACACGCCTAAGAGTCGTAGGAACCATCGTCTTTTTGTTAGAACTTTTAGTTGCAAATGCGTGCTCACAGGGTACTTTAAGGGTTCATCATTATACTGAGCAAAACAACTTAGGGGTTGAGGTTACATTTGCGAAGTCCTCCAAATACATAGCTGAGACACCTTGCAACTGTACAACACCACATACTATATAGCAGGGGTGTGCAACCTTTATCACATGAGGGCCAGATAAGAGTTACTGGGTGAAGCCGCGGGCCGCACCTTCATTTAAGATAGCCTTTCTTTCTAGTAGTTGAATTCACAAAAAATCGTTTCGTTTCGCACGTACCAGATTAAATAAGCTAAAAACTCGTTTCACGGGAACACCATTCAAAATTGGCACTTCTCCGCGGGTCACACAATTTTTCCTTGCGGGCCATATAGCTAAAAATCCTCCAAATATCCATTCAGATGCACGAAACATACTTCTTTCCGTAGTGAGAGAAACATTGTGCGATACAAAAAATATGGTATCATCAAATTTATTTACAAATCTTGCACGAAACGCAAAATTTCTGCAAGCAGGAATGCAAGTATAAAATCCTAATCACTCACATTTAAAGTCCCGAGTAACAAAACTATTGTTGAATGAATATTTTAACGAAAATCGACCCTCTACAAACTTCCTTAAATTAATAGTTAATTCAAGGAAGTTAGGGATTGGGGTGTGCCAAGAAAGAGGCTCAATTACGCGTAGATTCTAAAACTTGCTTCCATACTCGTTGAAATGCCCAGCGCAATAAAAAACATTGTGAAAAATACAAGGCAGTCCTTAAAATAACAAACAACTGCTTTAAATATTCATTCGTAAGTAGTATTTCTAATGACTGGGTCACATTTTCAAACTTTTTTTTTTGGTATATATTCTGCATTGAGTCTCGTCATGATATATGACACATAATCTTAATTTCAGCGAAAAAAAAAAGACAAATTCACTGAAAAACAGTAAATTCAACTGTATATAATTTCTTCTGGGGTACCAATCTTTTTAAATTTCGTTTATACAGTATCTTTGCACTGTGCATTAGAACAAACCGGCTCTTATTTAAAACTGGGCTACAAAGTCTAGGCTGGTGCAAAAGTTTTATATCATTTCTGAGCAGAAAAACATCCAAATTTCTTCAACCCTCTGTGCTCTGCTTAAAACCTTTCTCTGCTTCGAGATCTTCGTCTTCTTGTAGGAGGAGAACGGGATCGAGATCTGGAATAACGATGATAAAAAATGGTGGTCAAAAAGATGACTCATAAGCATGAGTGTTTGAATTCATCAGACAACAACAATTAAAAGATTCTGGTCAAGAAATATAGTAGTTTACTAAGTACCGTATATTAAAAAATTTTCAATTGCGTTAGTGTCTGTATTTCTTTCCACATTTCTAAAACATGAGTCTACACTTGATCGGTCGGGAAAACTAAAGTATTGAATAATTTCAGGTAGCCATGTCCAATTGAATATCTATTACTAATAATTGTTCGAACATAGCTACAATGAAGTAGCAATCGAGAGAATAGATCCTTTGGACAATTGCCTTAAAGGTCAGTGTGTCACATCACATAGGACACCGCAAACTACTTAACATAATAACAAGTCCATGCTTTCAAAAACAAATAACTGACTAACTAATCTCATACCTGAGATGGACTGGTAACCGGACAAGAGGCCGTGGTTCGCCATATGATTAAGCTGTCTTATCTTATTTAATTCCTATGAATATAATGTATATTAAAAGGATAATTCTCTTCAATACGTAAAACCTCTAAAGCAAGGGTCTCAAACTCAATCTACCCAATTTTTCCACAATAAAAAGATTAGTTCAAAACTTCAAATCTTTTCTTACTTTAATTTTGTTCAATCAGGCATTTCGTGTTTAGTTAATAGACAGTGATGTCTTACCACATGGAAAACATGGTTACAGTTTATCAACATAAATCTAGTCTTTAGTGATTATGACGTCAAAAATCCGATGACTCATATTGAATATATTGATCATTACTCAAGCGAACTGAGCTAAGTAACTTGCGGGCCACACTAACTTTAAACTTCCATACTAAGGGCTACAAACTATCGTCCTGCAGGCATTTGGGTTGCGGGCCCCGAATTTAAGACCCCTGCGTTACAGAGTGGAAATTCTGATTGCAGCAAAATACACAAACCTTCGTTTCTTTTCCTTTTTTCTTCCGTACAACTTTCTTCTCAAATCTCGTGAAATTGGTTTCAAATGCATGAAGTTACAGAATCCTCCTCTGGTGCATTCACTGAAGTAAAATAAATCAAGATTATGTGAGGCTGTAGCAAAGAACTTGGCACTCATGAATTATGAGCACCAAGATGGCGCACAACCTGAACCCTAACCTGGTACACATACTATGTTCAGGTTGTGTGCCATCTTGGTTCACATACTTCGTGAGCTCCAAGAATTTTTAGTTACGACAAAGTAGCAGAAAAAATTAGTTCTTGGGTTCGGATTCCTCTACAAATTGCAAATTTATTTTAAACTTTTCTGATGTCTATTGCGAGAAAGCAAAAACAAACTCCCCATTTCATACGTCAACAACCCAGAGAACCGGATTAAAAATTTTACTGAAGATAGGAAATAGAGGCAGAATCGAAGCAGAAAGAAAAAAATCACTTGTCAAACCCATAGCTAAATAGAACTATCAAGATAGGAAATAGAGGCAGAATCGAAGCAGAAGAAAAAAAATCACTTGTCAAACCCATAGCTAAATAGAACTATGCTTTTTTCGCTCCGATGTGCACTGTGTTGTGGCAAAATTATTTTTCTTTGTATTCAAGTCCTAGTAAATGTTAAGTTAATAAGGCATATAAAGCAGCATAAATGAGTTTTCACTAAAGTTTTCCCACAGGAAAAATATCCAACTATAGCCTCCACGGTGCCAACTTTCATCTATTCCATAAAATCAGAAGCAGATGTTAAACTTGGTCATTCCTACAAAGCATCTCCCACCCCATTTCATACTGTGAACTAATGTTAGTAATTGGTCTACAATTTTGTTCAACATGCACCGTGGTTGTGACATTTCACAAACTGCTATTTTTTTATATTAGTCTTAATGAATTTTGTTGTAAAGAAAAACTAGAAAAAGCCTATGAATTGTTTTCGAGGTTTCGGCAACAAAGCAAAATATTCGACGCTCCCGTAGTATGTGAACCAAGAGGGCAGACACCGGAACATAGTATGTGTACCAGGTTAGGCCAAAAATTTATTCCAATATCCCTTATTTTTGTTCTATTATAAGTTTTGGGACTAGCCAAGTGACTCCCGTAGTATTTACACCTGGAATTACGAGAGTACCAAATAATCAACTGTAATAGTCTTCCTTATTGTGCTAACTAACTTTCGACTCTTTCATGTAATCACAAAGATTGTTTTAAAAGCAAATTGTACAACTATGATTTCCCTTACCCCATTTCATACTGTCTGCAACAAGCTTCTCTGAAGTCAGTGACAGGACTGAGTTCAGAATGTATCGGTTGTCCGTTAAACCATCGGTTATTGAGATCATTCACTGCTTTCTCTGCATCTTCTTCTTTATGGAACTGTGATGTCAAATAAATAGAGATATTTGCAGGTGCGACAATACTTTTGGGATGAATGAGAGGCAAATCGTATATAGCATCGCTAATTAGGGTGAAAATGAGGAACGCAAGACTTCATTAAAACCGCAAGTATAAAACATTAGGAATGCACTTTGGATTGGTTCTGAACATCAGTCCGTTTCAAATGACTGAGAATCAAGATCTGAATCTAAAACCTATTTTCACTTACCTGTCCAATACGATATGGGTCAAGCACAATTAATATCAAATTCAATTATAAACCATTTCCACCAATCTCATACTTGTGTCAATTTTATTTACAATCCGTAGATTTCCCTAGGAATCCAAGATATTTACCATAAGACACCTCCGAAAATCATAACAATGGAAAAAGAGAATGTTGTATTTCGTGAAATACTGCATCATAAAACACTTCAATGCAGTTTTCAGAATTTATTTGGGAGAGTTAATTCTTTATATTGACTATCTCTACTTGGGGCTACTTGACATATTTAAAATATTAAAAATTTTATTTAGAAAGCTCTTAGAAATCCTTAGAACATTCTACAATTTTTCATTCACACAAAAGCAGACCTACCTTCACATAGACATTTCCAACTAAATGATCTCCCAGGTTATCACAGACATTCATCTCTTCAATGTCCCCATATTTCTCTTCTAGTTCAGTGAAAACTTCTTCAAAGAATTCATCGTAGTGTTCCTGCATTTCAACATCACTCACTTCACCAGTTGGAGGGAACACTGAAAAAAATCAGAAGTTTATTTAGCAGTCGTTGAAAAAAAAAAAAATAATCTTCTAGTGTGACTAGTGCTGGCAGAATGAATAAAACGATTCGACTAAGTGGATAAAATGGAATAGCATATTATCTATATGTAAACATATTTGTGGGATGGCTGATGGCTTGACATGGCTGAACTACAAAAATGGTCATTATAATTATCATATTTCTCCACATATGGTACATACTTTCAGAGCAAAAATTTAAGTTCAGAATGAGGGGGTGCATTATGCAATGACATACAAAATAGTGAAAAAATAATAATCCCTATTTTATGCCTAAATCGCTAATAATTCTCACATATATTAATCTCTATTAGGATCAGATCATGCTTGTTTCGGTAGAAGCATGCCCAATCCAAAGAAAATTTAGGGTTAGTAAAAGTAGCAAGAATTTTAACGAATTCAATAACTCAAAAAGCCGAAAAAAAGGTTGAAGAACAGTTGTATATCGTTAACTGCTGTCATCGTCTTGCCGTTTCTCTCACTCACACATATGTCACTCAAATTAGTGACCATGACTCTTTTTTGAAGTGCAGCATCTGACACGCTCTGACATCAGGCTTAATAGTGCTAAAATGAACATGCGCATTATGGGTGCGCATTATGTCCAGAGAAAAGTGATAAATATACGATATGAAATTGGCAAATATCAACTCACCGTTGGGAACAGAGCAGTTTGTAATCTGTGGATTCTGATATAATCCTTGCAACATGATCGTCTGTAAAATTGAGAATAACAATAATTACTAAGCAGTTAGACATTGTTAAAATGAAGCTATTGGAAATGAATTAAATGAATATAAAAAATGAATCTGGAAATCACCCTATATATATAATATATATATACGATTCATTCCTAGTCAGAGTAAGATTCATGATATCATTTACTGGAACTTATAAAATTAGATGAGGATAAATATCATTCATAAAAATACCTGGCTGAAAGTGGGTTTGTTGTGAAGTCTTGAACAACGATCTCCATGACGACAAGCTCCAATCTTGAAGTAGAAAGAACAATTTACCCTGAAAATAGAAAAAAAAAACAGAATCAGCAATGAAAAAATTACAAAATCAAGTTTAAAATTTATTTTGCGTTTGAAGAGGTCGAGTTTATTTTTACAAACAATTACAAATTTCAAAACAGCTATAAGCATGCGCTATATGTTGCGATTCATACAAAAGGCATACAGAATTGCGGTCAAGCCAGAATTTTGAATCTGGACTAAGTTAGTACTAAGTTAGATTAATCAGAATACAAAAGGGATTCCATTATTCAAATTTAATTACAGTGGTGTGGCACATCGTGCTAAGAGTTAGGAATACGATTACCACTGCACCTTTAATTACCCTGCGGGTTCGCAGGTTCGAATTTCATGCGAGTATAATTATGTGCGAAAGGATTGCTGGACACCTCGCCGCCAGTGTGGTTCAGGTAACGTAACTGCTGGTCGGTTACGGCTTCCTCCACCATCAAGTCCATGCTTCTGGACTTTGAAGGCATCAGTTATTATTTTTATTTCACAATCACGATGTAATGCATTTTTCGCTAAACCACTGTGGAAAATATTGTCATAGCATTGACAAATAAGTTTGCAATTGAACAAGTTTGGTAGTCAACTAATGAATCAATTGACTAAAATTCTTGAGGATAATGGGGTTTTTCTTAATATTGCAACTAATACCGTTACATCCCGATATTCAGTCTTGAAGATAATTCAAATCTCTGAAAGGCTTTCAAATATATATATTTTTATGTGTGCTATGGTGGCGAATATTTCACATCTTTTTAGAAAAGTTGGCACTCAGCTACACAACTTGAGCCTCGCCATACCTAAGCGCGACATTACAGCATCAAGCATTGCTTTTGTATTTTGTTAAACGATGCATTTCGAATTTCGTTTAAATACCGGTACCGTAAAACCGGCTAACTTCGGATGCCTTGTAATTTCGGATGAAATTTTCAATCGTTCATATCTCAACTAAATTTCGTCGTATTGCGCTTCTGTCGGTTTCTATAGTAAGGCCTTACATCTCTGAATCTGCCGTAGCCTCCAATCGCTCGATTTGATTTTTTATCATTCAAAAAATCATATTTTACCAAAAAAATGACACCTTTTTTTCGAGCGGCTCAAATCGTGACTTCTACAGACGCTACCTTCGTCAAATCACCGCCAAGCGCTAGAGAGCGTACACAATGTATACAAAAAAATACAGTGATCACAAGGTGTCGTACGAGATTCAAGTGAAATCGATTATTTTGATTTAAAAATTACATCAAAATATCGACGTTTTGATGATTACGTACAGCGTGACGTCAACGGCGCAAATCCCTTTCTCTCTCTCCGTAGCCGACGTCACTTTGCGTAGCTCGTGCGTTACTCGCTGCGACATTTGAACGCCAGACATCGCGGCGCACAGTTTTGTGAAATTTAAAAATTATGCTTATCCATGATCCTAGTCACTAAATCCTACAAAAACATCACTATCGTCTCAGTCATATGTTGTTTATTTAAAAATATGGGTATGCATACGCTTAATGCATATGAAATTTGTCAATTTTTGTTTTTGCATACTTCCTCCGACACCGATAGATACCGTAGCAATTGGTAATACGTTAGACCTGAAACATGTATCTATACGATCATAATGATTAGATATGTCTGTTTACGATCGGCAGATGATAATAATATCTTTAACAGGTGAGCGTAGAACTCTACATAGATGCACACAGCAGGAGGTTGGACCACATACAGGTGAGGCGCAAAATGAAAAAAAGTGGCGAAGTTTCTTTTTGCCGTTTTTATCCGTTTATTGTCATTTGACTTTATCTATCTACCTGTGAACACATTAAATCTGATCTATCAATACGATGCCAAAGCGAACTTACAACTCCTGCAATAGCGAGGACTTGCAAAAGGCTATGGCTGATGTTAGAGCAGGGATGACGTATGCGAAAGCAGCTAAACGCAATGCCGTGGAAAGGTCGACATTATTCGACAAAATGAAGAAGACTCACACTAAAAGTATTGGTCGCCCGACTGGTTTAACCAATGAAGAGGAGAAGCGATTTGCTAATAGCCTCGAAATCATTGCACGTTGGGGATATCCCATTGGACCGGAGGACATGTGCAACATTGTCAAAAATTATTTGGATGCAATGGGAATAAGCTCTCCTACGTTCCCCAACAACAAACCCGGCCCGACGTGGGTGGATAATTTTTGCAAAAGGCAGCGGTTATCCAAAAGAGTTGCCTCAAACATTAAAAGAGCACGTGCAGCCGTGGGGTCAGAGGAAATAGTGAATTACTCACTTGTCTTTTTCTGTCCCAAAAATCGAGGCCAGATACTCCGCCATGTTTGCGATGAGATACTGATATAATGACGAACCTCTTGCGTCGAAATATTACTCAATGACAAAATCAGCAAATAGTCCAATTACAGAAATACCGTACCAAAGCCAACTCGCAAGACCTCCAATCACAAACACACGCAGTGAAAATTTCTTGACGTTTCTCGTTGGTTCAGCGTTTATTATCACTAGTGGGCGTAGGTGCTCGAATGAAGTGATCGGAGTCAAGTTTTGTAGGCGCCAATTCCTTTCTAATATATGAATTGAATTAATTTGATACATTTCTATTGCAAATAACATTATAAAAAAAAATTCTTATCCGCACAAAAAATAATCTCCTCTGGAAAATGTTTCAGAAGCTTGGCGAACGCTTGAATTCCACGAAAATTTGCACGTGGAAATAATATGTAGCGTAGCTATTTTGGGGTGAATTTTTCAGTAATCACCAGTTTATTTTGACCCTACCAAAATACATTTTATGAATAAACAATAAAAATGAAGTAAATTGCTACCTCAGGGTAAAGGGAGGCGCGAGACATCATTACTGGTTATCGTGCAGCGACACGATAGGATAGGATTTACATATTTATCCCGGGGGAGAGGAAAGCCGATAAGACGGCTTATCCATATGGCGAACCACGGCCTCTCGTCCGGTTACCATTCCAAGTCGGGTATGGGATTAGTTTTACTGTATTGTTTTGTTTTCGGAAGCATGGACTCTTCCACATAACTTTACACTTAACTATCCGATCGCATTATTGTCAATCAAGCATACGAGTATTTTTCTATTTTTACTACATTCTACAACAGTGGTTCCTAAACTTTTTGAGCCGCGCCCCCCTTCGAAAATTTTTACAAACTTCGCCCCCCCCCCCTCTTTTTGCTTTGAAAAAATGCTTTTGTGATGGATAAGTTGTTATATATTATTATGGCGCTAAAACAGAGTGTTGATCTCATAGCGTCATTGCTCAGATTGTTTAGGCATAAAACGCTTCGGAGTACAACTTCGCCATTCACTGTCGTATGTATAAAGCCAAATAGTGGTTGGTCATCATACATTCTTGTTTTTCCGCTCAGTTTGCAATACTTGGCAAAGTCAAACTAATTATATCAATTGTTGTCGCTAAGGCGTTTGCGATTGCATTTTGTTTAAATCTCCATTGTTTACGTCAGCGTGGCGTGGTATTTGAGCCATAAAAATCTTGAATTCAGTGTTTATTCTTTTAAATCCGAAATTTCCCTCGACATATTCTTGTGAAGCGAAGACGATTATAATTACCTTTTTTGTTCTCGAATGGAACCATGACACCTCTGAGGAAAACGAGTTAGTTTTTATTATAATCATCAGCGACGAGATGCTAAAGATAGAATAAAGAAGTGAATCCGTAACTAAAAATTTCTTTATTGTAAAAGTGGCATTATAAAAAAAAAAAAAACGGAAAACGCCATGAGTGTTGTTTTGGGGTGGACCGCGACAGATTAAAAACACTTTCTTAGACATTGAAAATCTCATTAATTCCTTGTGCGTGCGGCACACCAGTAGTGTTCTAAAACTACAGACTTGATATAAATTTTACTTCGTGGGATCGCAGACTTAGGAATATCTATAACGGTGATATCTTGAAATTAATCGAGTGGCGGCATTGCGTTAGAGCGGAGTAAGAGTTGCAGGGACAGCTCATATTGGTGAAATTGGCAAGAATACAAATCAAAACAAAATGTAATCGACATTTTTATGGTTGCGGATTACCGTGTTATTTTGGAGTACTGGTGCTTTTATTTTATCGACGCAATCGCAGATTTAATTTATTAGAATTGAATGAATAAAGCAACCATTTTAAATAAGTATATCAATCATGGATTGAATATTTTATTCAACAGAAAAACCATTACATTTCCGTTGAAAAAGTCGACTCTTTTAACGACTGGCGTAATCTCGAGGACTGACTCAGAAGCCGTACCGCGGGGGTTTCGTTTCGATGAATATGTATTTTTTATCTACTAATATACTTTACATGTATTTTAATTGTACTATATTAAATATACTTTCTGAGATATTATACCAGATCTTTCTAATGACGACAACGAATTCCCATGAGTGCAATATATATAAAAACTAAATATAATCGGGCAGTTGATTATACTTTATTATGTCCGCGGATTGGCTTGGTATTTCAGATAAGTAATGAGTTTATTTTGTCGTGAGTCGCCGCAACCGCGAGTTACCTTGAACACAAATGAATTAAAATAGAGAGACATTTTGAATTATTGTAATTATTACGAGACAGACAAATTCATTATAACACGAAAAAGTCGGTATTTTGAACGAACGCGGAGACCGTTTCAGGAGCCGTTACATGTAAATTTCCGATTCCATCTTGTGAGCATCTCGCGCCCCCCAGTTTAATAACCACTGTTCTACAATAAATCATCACCGTTTTGAATACCAAACTTTTGTTTGCGACCTTGCTTGCGCCATCCTTGTTGATATCGTTTAGGTAATTATAATACATCATTATATATTTCTTCTTCAGAATTTTTAGATATCTGATGAATGTATACAGTACGTAATATTACATGTTTTTTTACTTTGTTAATTTAAATCGGAATATTGTGTTTTTATATATCATTTTAATTAAGTGATGATTAATTGATATCACAATTTGTCGTATGCCAGGCCAATCAGCCGAAAAGCATCTTTCCGTTATAATCGTCAAGTAACCAACAATTAGGCATCCATTTATTTATCAACCTAAAGCATAATACAAATACATTGAACTGATGCCCGAAGACCAGTCTATCATATCGATCCTCTGGTGTCACGATAAGCACAATTTGTGGCACTGCATTAATAGAAGATAAATTGACTGTGATTATTTTAATTATTTGACAATAATGCATCCATGTATTTGTTTGTTATATTTTTTATTCTTTTATAATTAAACATGGTTAAAACAGTTTACCAGTTTAGCACTAGATTAGGTCTAGTTTTGTTGAAGAGCTGGTAGGAGCATGTCAAAGTTTTCTGCTGGACGATATTGATGCCCCTTATACCCTACTTAAAAAATTAATTTGGCGAATAAACAAATTATGGATGTTGTTATACGTGAGAATAAATAAGTTAAAGGTCAAGTAAGAGTGGAATATTTTTGTTATTTCAATAATCAAACTAAGCAACCTGCTCGGGCGCTGCCCCTTAAGCCCCCTATAGACACTCACCCCCCTGGAAGCAGGGTGTTAGATCAATGCCAACGAGATGTTGACCCGCATGTTATCATCTAATATTTTTAAAGGAAAACAACAAAAGCTCTTTTGGTTGAATTACAAAAGAACGGTTACTGATATTAGTCATCACTTAGAGTTCAGGACAGGGGGCTTGTTTCGCTAAACCGCTAATGATGGTAAGTGTCTCGAGGAAGACAGTGATTACCAAACTTTGTAGTCTGCCAGGCGGATTGGTATGTAAGCTGTGTTGTGGCTTCCGTTGATTTCCGACAAGAAAATTTATATTATGAAAAAAAACGTTGTTAGCACATATATATATATATATATATAATAGCATTCACACTAGAATATGGGAAAAATAAAATTTTTACTCGCGTAGACGGCAGATATATACTCTAAAACCGTGTGTAAACAAAATTTTCATTAAGAGGAAAGTATAACTCAGTACTCCAAAATCACATTATATAGTTATGCAATTTTTATGAGCTCATTGGGCTTACTGTATATATATGCAAAATTCAATCACTATAAAATAGCAAATAATTTTTTTTTCTCGATGCGTTCTCGAAATTTTACCATGAAAATTTTCCTTCAAGGGCGTAAAGTCTAACTCGGCCGACTCAAGTTCAAAGAGATTAGAATTCCATAACAATGTTAACAAGGGAAAATGAAGATTGCGTGCGATTCTACAAAAGCAATTTTAATAATTTTCAGATTATAAAGCCTCGTGAAATATGATCGATATGTCTGGAAAGGTGTTGCATATCGTGGAGAAATGGATTAGAGTTTGACAATGGATGAGTTTCAAATACTATTTGGTTTCACTTGTTAACACGCAGTGTACAAAGTCAATAAAAAACCGGATAATAGTAACAATCGGTTACGGCCTTACCTTTTGCGTTGTCTTATGTGCTATTCAAATATGAATAGGATTCGATAATTATTTGCTTGCGCTTGTTTACCATGTAGCGTAGAATTTTTTTTATATACGACGCATATTCATGACTTTCGTTGCGAACAAGACTCTCTGTATAGACTGCCACCAATGAATTACTATTTTTGGAAGGACTGGAGTCTTCTTGTTCGGCATTGACTACGCATTTATTACACCTTGGGTGAGATGTGGGTGGGCTATGAACCCTATGTGTGCAACCTACGATACCTATATAGTTAAGTCTCTCGCTTGGGTCGCTCGACCATCAATAAGAAGATGATAATAATAACTGATAAATTTATTTTTCAGATTTATCTCGATAATTTTTCTCGTATCTTAGTATTAATCTCAATCAATAATCTATAACTATAAGCCATTTGATTTTATATATTTTTTTTTGAGTTCCATATCTTCGAACAAAAGTTTCTGCCTTGAATAGGTATATTCTCCACCTAAAAAGGCCTGCGTTTTTATGTGGTGAGAACTTGATTTGTTTCTGCTTGGGTTGGAGAAGTCAAATGTATTTACTAGAATTGTAATATAAGCTGAATATGAAGTCTAGCACTCTCCAAATCCAGAGGATACAAGGGTATTGTACTATGGCAGGGATACCAGTTTATTTGCTGTTAAATTAAGTTATATATTGTTTTGTCTGAAGAAGTTAGACTATATGATGAAAGCTTACAAATACACTTGCTATTTGATGGAACGAGATTGTGTTAGTGTGTGTTGTGTTATTCTTAACTTTTCCAAATACTCAATGAGTCAATAGTATTTGATCTAGAGGCTCACTTGTTTTATTTCAGAATGCATTTGCAGAAAAAATTCTGCGGGCGTGGTGAATTAGAAAACTCTCGTTGAGATCAAAGCCCGATTCTCTTCACCCCACCTCGTACGTAATAAAGGAAGATTCCGGTCTTGTCAGAAACAGTATAGCTGAGAGCGTATCAGTAGTAACTTGTCTAATGTCATGCCAAAGCGACAGTGTGAATCGTCTTA